GGGCTGGGAGCCGGGCCGGGGTCGGGGAGCTGGGAGCCGGGCCGGGGTCGGGGAGCCGGGAGCCGGGGGGTGGTCGGCCGGGGCCGCGCCTCCTCCCCCCCACACCCTCCCCCCTTACCTGCTTCAGGCTTCCCGCGAATTAAATGTTCGCGGGAAGCAGGGGAGGGGGCGGAGACTTTGGGAGGGGGCGGAGTTGGGGCGGGGGCCCCCGGGAGTGTCCTCCATTAGGAGGCACAAAATATGGTAACCCTAGCATTGGGTAGCAGGGCCCAGGAAATGAAAACCTCTTAACCACACAGGATTGTTAACTGCTCCCAAATCCTTCTGTGCATGGCTGCAAGCTTAGAAGAGCTCAAGCTGTGAGATGCACGAACTTCCTCCATAAATCTCTCCTGTGCGGTGCCTCAAGCAGGTTTGCGTTGTAGTACCCAGATGAAAAGCCCAGCAGAGAAAGCTTGCAACTTTCCCAGCTCTTTCAGCAGTGTTTGGGGCCTTTAATCACTCGGGATGCATAGTCCAGCCCCTCTCCACACCCCCACCCCCAGAAAGTCCCCCCCCAACCATCCCCTGCTCCCTGACGGCCCCCCGGACTCCCCTTACCACCATGCAGATCGAGCCGCTGGCTGCCAGCGCCCAGCCCTCCCCCGCAGCGTGCTGAGGCGGGGGAGCGGCGAGGGGGGTCTGGCTGCTGGAGGACCAATGGGAGCAGCTCAACTGGGCCCAGGCGGCCAATCAGCAGTGCCGCACTCTGCATGGGGGGGAAGGGGAGGGTGAAAAATCCAGGACCTTTCCTACTAAGGCGTCATGTGCTCAGTGGGGGAGTGGCCGCTCCCCCTGCTCCCCCCCAGCTACGCTACTGACTATAGGGAGGCAATGCAACTGCATCAAGCCAGGGCCGGCTCTAGGTTTTTTGCCGCCCCAAGCAAAAAAAAATTTGGCTCCCCCCCACTTTTTTTTGGCTTTTACACGTTTGCACTTTGCAATGTTGTTGTTGTTGTTTTGTTTGTTTGACTGGGTGCGGTACTGATGCAGCATTGGGCAACGACTGCATCTGAATCTGCTGGAGCCGGGTGTATCTGCCTGAATTTCTTATTGAGACAGAGGAGCTGAAACGCCCCATGGGCCACTAGAGCGTCTGAGTAACTCGTGCGCCTGGGATATGTGCGCAGGGGAAATACAGACTAGAGAGGGACATTTCCAGAGGCTTAAATCCCCGCATGTCACGCCTGGGTCTCTTGAAGGAAGGCTGCGGGGTTGTGCAGCCGCGGTCGGAGGCTGAGCGAGAGCCTCAACAGGGCTCAGTTATCTCCTGAGACAGCCCTGGGCTTTCCTGGGCACGCTCCGTAGTTCAGTCTTACTAGGAGCTGGGCTGCTGCTTCGGAGCGCTTTCTGCTCCTTTCCCTCCTTTCAAATGAGCCTGACGTTCCCCAGATCATTCCCTGACACGGGTGAGGAGCGCGCTGGAGAATTGCCTGCTGTCCGACGGGGGCTAATCCCGACACGGCCACTTGATCAGAGGGTCGGGTCATTATCTTTACAAAGTTGTGCCTGAATGAAAGGATTTCTCCCATCTCAGATTCATTCCCAAGGGGGCGGGGGGGAGAGAAGAAGGGGGAAGCTGGGATAACCCTTGAAGGGGTATTTCATGGCACTCTCTCCCGGGGCGTCTCTCTGAGCCCCACCGGCTGTACAGCAGCACAGGATGACCTGGCTGGCAGCACTGATGGCATTATTGGCCGCTCGGGGCTTCCTGCCCGGCCCTGGTAAGTTCTCAGCAGCTTTCTCGTTGTTCCTCAGGGGACTCGGGCTGTACGGCTTTAGGAACATGACATCGCTCTTGGCGGACTCCGGGGTCAGGCAGACTTTGTCGCAGTAGCCCGGAGGGCCGCTGCAGCCACATCCAGGCAGTTGGTGGGCACTTTGTTGCCCAGGGAGAGCTGGGGCTTGGTGCATTAACCACTGGTGTACACAGCCTCTCTCTTTTATCCAAAGTGGAACACTTCCAACAGGAGAGACTGAGGTCTATCGCTCACTGTCCGTCTGTTTTTGTTTAGTTTAAAAAGCAAATAAACCTGAAACATTGTGGCTTCATCTTTATATGGAGCAGGATTTTTTGTTAAATCCTGAAAATATTCAGGTGATGGCAAAACAATGTCCTGCGCCACTCTGCTGTCGATATTAAGGAGTACGTCATTTGGACGAGGCTGTTTTGAGTCACTGTGCACACACACACACTGGTCACTGAATGGAAGGCTTGGATGGGGTCGAAATCCAATCAAGCGGACAGGAGAACCCGTCCCGTCAGCGTAGTTCGTGTCTACACTGAAGCACTACAGCTGCACAGCTACAATGTTTTAGGTGTACACAAGCCTTGGTGGAAGAGTGGAAGAACCGCAGGGCTCTAGCCTAAGAGACGAAGGCACAGGGCCCGTAATCTGGAGGGTTTGCACCCCGAGGGCATGTCGTCTTTGCTGTGACAAAAGAAAAGGGGTGTATTCTTAACGCTAACATAGCAATGGAGACACAGCAGCTCAGCTTGAGTTGAAGCCTATAGGTTTAATCAGCTTGTACCTCGGCCTTGGACTTGAGCTGCTAAGCCGTGTTGCTGTGTCTTTGCTGTTATTTGAACCCAAGTTAGCTAATTGAGTTAAGGACACACTTTATTTTTTAAAAGTTCAGTGAAGACATAACCCAGAGACTGAGAGGGGTCAAAAGTGCAGATTGCCCTGAAAACTGATTTTATTATTATTCATTACAGGCAAAGGGGAGCAGAGTGAGAATTTCCCAACCAACGATGCACGTCGGAAACCAAACCTTAGTGACTCAGTTTATCCTCCGTGGGTTCCCTATGTCCCTAGAGCTGCAGACCTCTCTCTTCATGGTGGTTCTGCTCATGTATATACTCACCATCGTCGGCAACGTTCTTATCATTGTTATTGTTATCCGTGACCCTTGTCTCCACACCCCCATGTATTTCTTCCTGGGGAACCTCTCTTTCCTTGAGATCTGGTACATCACCACGCTGGTGCCAAAGATGCTGGCTAATTTCTTGGCCCAGAAGAGGTCCATCTCCCTCCGATGCTGCTTGACACAAGCCTTTTTTCACTTCTTCCTGGGTGCCACCGAGTTTTTCCTGCTGGCCGCTATGTCCTTTGACCGATACTTAGCTGTCTGTGACCCCTTGCATTATGGGGCTGTCATGAGCAATGGGCTCTGCCTCTGGTTAGCCTTGGGGTCGTGGTTGGGTGGCTTCTTGACTGTCTTCCTGCAGACCATCCTGGTTTGCCAACTCCCCTTCTGTGGCCCAAACCTCATTAACCACTTCTACTGTGACGTGGCCCCATTGCTGAAGTTGGCTTGTGCCGACACTCGCTTCATAGAGCAGGTAGTGTTTACAGTGGCTGCCTTAGTTCTCTTGAGCTCCTTCTCCTTCACCACAATATGGTATGTTTTCATCATATCGGCCGTATTGCGGATCCCTTCCAACAGTGGGAGGCAGAGGGCATTTTCCACCTGTGCCTCCCATCTCACGGTGGTCTCCATACTGTACGGGACCGTCATCTTCATGTACGTGAGGCCAAAAGTGAACTCCTCACTGGAGCTGAACAAGGTGGTTTCAGTGCTGAACACGGTCATCACTCCCCTCCTGAACCCCTTTATCTACACGCTGAGGAACAAGGAAGTCCAAGAGACCTTGAAAAAAGCAATGTGTACAAAAAAGTGCTTGACGAGGAATGAGAAGGCAAGATGCTCAGCTGGTATAAACTAGTTTCACTTCATTGGACTCAATGGCACCAGACCACAAGCGATGTAAATCATAGATTCCGAGGCCAGAAGGGACTTTTGTCATCATTTAGTCTGACCCCTTGTATAACTCAGGCCGGAGAATTTCTGCAAAATAATTCCCATAGCAGATGATTTAGACAAATATCCAATCTTGATTCAAAAATTGTCATTGATGGTGAATCCACCAAGACCCTTGGCAAATTGTTCTAATGGCTAATTATGCTCACGGTTAAACACGTATGCCTTATTTCTTCTTCTTGTTTCAACTCAAGAGATAGCCTCTCCACCCCCAAGGATACCTGAAAGAGACTTGGAAGATGGTAAGGTGATAGGGAATAGCCAGCATGGATTTGTAAAGAACAAATCATGTCAAATCCATCTGATAGCTTTCTTTGATAAGATAACGAGTCTTGTGGATAAGGGAGAAGCGGTGGATGTGGTATACCTAGACTTTAGTAAGGCATTTGATACAGTCTCGTATGATATTCTTATTGATAAACTAGGCAAATACAACTTAGATGGGGCTACTATAAGGTGGGTGCATAACTGGTTGGATAACAGTACTCAGAGAGTAGTTATTAATGGTAGTAGCTATCTCCCCCACCCTGCCTAATGCTGGCTACCCACTGCAGCCCTTTCCCAGGAGCCTGGCGCACCCAGTCCATCCAATAGCTACTGAAAGTGAACCCTACCTCTGCACATAAACACCTCTAGAGGTAGGGTGACCAGATGTCCCGATTTTATAGGGACAGTCCCGATTTTTGGGTCTTTTTCTTATATAGGTTCCTATTACCCCCCACCCTTGTCCCGATTTTTCACATTTGCTGTCTGGTCACCCTATCTAGAGGAAATGGACGAGGACGCAGAACGCAGGTGAGGGAGCCAACGCTGCATATTAAACTAATGTATCGCATGCCTCTGCATTTCATCACATCAATGAAACCTCCATGAGTGTGCGTCTCTGGATGTAGAGCAGTGTGTGTGCCCCTTCTTATAAATCCCTTGTGGACACAGTAAACATGTTCGTACGTAATATATGTGAATATTTCTTTAATGTGTGTATGACTCCTCTTACTAGTACTACTAGATCTTCTCCCTTCTGGCTCCTCCTCTGATGTCACCCACCACCGCCAGGCTCCATGTTCCAGGCTCCCCACTGCTTGGCTTCTTGTCCCAGTCTCTTAGCCCAGCCAATCCCAGTTTTCTCCCTGAACCCCAGATTCTCATCAGATGTGTTTTCCCTCCTCACCGAACACTATCCCCGTTCCCCACTGGCTCCAGGCCCTTTGTCCCAGACTCTTTATCCAGCCAGACTGAGACCCCCACAACCTCATTCCTGGTATCTGATCTCCCTGTTTCCTCATCAGGTCCCAATCCCAGTTTCTTTGTCAACCCGTCTTCCCCACTCAGCTCCCAACCCCAATCTCTCCCCTCAGCTCTCAGATCCAGTCTCCTTTCCAAAATGGTCCCAGTCTCTCTCCCCTACCCCCAACTTTCCAGCCCCAGCTCTGCCCCCAACTCCCAGGGTCTGTTTCTATTCCCACCCACCCCAGTCCCAGTCTCCATGACCCTGTCTACTGCATTCCCGTGGCCATGGTCTTGATCTTCTCCCCTACGCATTTGACTCAGATGGCATCCTCCTCCAGTGGTGTCTGGGCCTTGCGGGAGGTGCGGGAGATATCCATGAGAGCACAGGAGAGATGGGCTTCCTGCTGTCCGTTCTGGTGCCGGACCGGAGTTGGAACAGATTGTTAATCATAAGGAGTAAACACATGTTTTGGGAGACCACTGAAAATGAAGTGAGCAAGTGAGGGTTAGATTGTTATGGCCGTCAAACAACCCCCCAACCTCCTGAAAATCATCATCAGAAGCACGTTCACACGGATCAGGACACACCAACTCAAAGCAGCACCATACTCTGCCCGAACAACAGATGCAAAACCTTCAGCCATATCTCCACTGCAACAATGATCAATGTTCCCCACAACGTACCTTTTGAGATTCGTGGGTGCTACACACAACTTGTGGTGTACCTCATCCAGTGCAGAAAATATCCAGACAACAACACTGTGGGTGAAACCAGACAATCACGATGCTCTCGGCTGAACTCACACAGAAAAATGAACAAAACCCATAAGTGAACACTTTTCACAATGCAATCAATCCAATTCCAATCTGTCAGTACTCACCCTTCCAAAGGCAAACCTGGGAACTTAAATTCATAACTCTGCTAGACACTAAATATCATGGACTCCACAGAGACACTGGTCTTATGGCTCATTATAACAATTTGTAACACACCCCACTGCCTGATGATCCTTAATTTCCCACTCAAATTTAAGTGGTCTCCTATAGCATGTGTAAACCCCTTAGGCTTAAAAACCTGCCCCAACTTGTATTTAGCTCAGACGCTCTGCTTTCCTTCCCCAGACCTGAAGAGGAGCTCTGTGAAGCTCAAAAGCTTGTCCCTTCCACCGAGAGAAGTTGGTCCAAAAAAAGATATTGCCTCACCCATCTTGTCTCTCTCATATCCTGGGACCAACACGGCTACAACACCACTGCAAACAGACAGACCGAAAGATAAGGCACGGAATAGAATTCGCTCGCAAAAGCCATAATAGTAGCTAGCATCCTCATTTCATTCAAACAAAATGCAAAGTTTGATCTAATTAAAGAGCAAGACTGACTAGATGATCCAGTCATGCCAAGTGCTAACTAGAGCTGCCTGGAAAAACAAGGACACATTTGGACAAAATAGCTGGGCGGGGGGGGGGATGTTTCCACTTGTTCACTGAAAAATGTTTTGATGGAACTTTTTTTCAACCCGCTCTGGTGCTCAGCCCTTCCTAAAAGGTGACAAGCGAGTGAAGAACCAGGCCACATGTCTGTTGAGCATTGAACAAAGGCTAAAGTTATGAGCTTCCCTCTCCACACATCTCCCATGATCCACTGCAGCAGCTCAGCCACAGGGAGAGACCACAGTGCACCATGGGAGATGTAGTATGGCCAGAGAGGAAGGCCCATGGAGGAGAATGAAACATGTGGGACTTGGAACTGCAGTTCCCATGGGATACAGCAGCAGCTCTGACAGACACAGAGGTCAATGTCATGAAACATTCAGTTTGGGGTCAACAAATGGAAATGTAACATTTTGATTCCAGAATGTAGAAATTCTTTGAAGTTCACATATCAGTTGTGGATTGTTGTTGTTTTTTGAGGGGGGGCATAGAAGGTGGGAGTTAACGTCTTGTTCTGTGTAAAGTTTTCATATATCAATTTAACTATAGTGCCTTCACTTGAGTTCCTCTTGATTTTGCACCAGCATAAGTGAGAATAAATTTGGATCCAATGATTTCATTAGTTACTCCTAATTCAAAGTGTGTTGTGTGAGCGGAGCACCAAGCCTCGTGGCTTTCCATGGTGTTACTCCTGATTTACACCAGGATGAGTGAGAGGAGAATGTGGTCCACTGACCTCAGAGGAGTCACTCCGGATTAACACCAAGGTGAGCCCCCGAAGAATCAGCCTCCTGAACTGCAATGGGATTACTGCTGATTTACACAGGGGCGAGTGAGAAGAGACCTCGACCCACCATAACTGTACACGTGGAGTGAGGGAGAGGAAAATGTAGCCATACAGAAAGCTATTCAAATGTCATTCCCATTAGACTTCAATGGTTTAACCCGCGCTTTACACCAGTGCGACCCCATTGGGCTAGACCCGCAGCTGACAACTCTGTGTTGCGTCACTGAAATCACTATCTGGGGATCTGGCCAGTTGATTTCATGTGTTACGCCGGGTATATCCTGACATGATTTTTTTCTCCACAGAGTTCAAATTTCATTGAATTCAGTTACTTGTCCTGGACAAATAGCCACCCATCGATCCTCACAGCAATTCACCACACCCAATAGTGTCATTAATAAATGTGATTATCCCCATCTTACAGATAGGGAAGCCTAAGAAAAGATGTTACCAGAGGAGATTCTGTGCTAGCATTTTGTTGCATAACTGTCTTCAGCGAGGTTTCTTGTACCTTCATCGAATGCAGTAGGTACTGATCAGTCAGAGACAGGACAGTGGAGAAGGCGGACGACTGATCACATCAAGTGTCGCAATGCCCGTGTTGCATAGAGATCTCCTTTGAGGATAGAAACTTTTCTGTCTCCAACACCTTCCCATTGAGTTCCCCTCTCTGTTATACCCGTTGAATGTAAGGACTAAAAATAACTATATTATTAACTCTACCTTTACAGCAGTTGAAAATTCCCATCAGTGGTATTCTCCAGGGAGACTTTTCTCCCTCATATAATGAAAGAAGGCAGACATTTGCCTTTTGGTAACAGATCCAAGCCAACTCTGCCAGGCCAGTGATCAGAATTTTTGTTGGGGAGTGACTCGTAGGGATATAAATCTCTTTCCTGAGATCCGTGAAGAATTTGGGGATCAGAGACAGACTGTAGAATCTGTATCCTGGGTCTCCGAAAGGCTGCTTGAAGAGGTCACCCCAGCGATCTCAAGTTTTTCTTATACCAGTTTTGGAGGAAAGACAAACTCTCTTATCAAATTTCCAGAAGGTAAAAGACGATATAAGATTATGTATGTTCTCATTGCAATTCTCCTCTGTCTAATAAATATTTTCTCCTTACACTATAGTACCTACTAGGGCTGGTAGAAAAATTTCTGTCAGCATTTACTTGATGGAAAATTGGGTTCTCAAGGAAATAATAATTTTCACGAGCTGTGTCCAATTTTGCTAAAAAAATTCAGTATTTCATTGGAAAATAAATTTAAAAAAACCAAACTATTTAAAAAATCATATTATGGTTGAATAATTTTCACTTTGGGCTTTAAATATGGGAATTTATAACTTTGTCAGTCAAAAAAATTTGGTTTTAGGAATTTTAGTGAAAATGTTTGGTAGTTTTTTGAGCAGCCACTGTAGTGAATAACATAAAGCAGAAGCATTGTCTTTCTATGAGACATGCCCTGACCGGGCAGTTTTAGACTGTAGAACACCCTGGATTTATTCAGGATTAGCCAAAATGGATGTGGCTGGTATCTGTGAATATTTATGTGAATTTGTGTCTCCGCATTTGCTCACTGCATAAACAATCCTCTAGATCAGTGGTTCTCAAACTAGGGTCGCCGCTTGTTCAGGGAAAGCTCCTGGTGGGCTGGGCCGGTTTGTTTACCTGCTGCGTCCGCAGGTTCAGCCGATCGCGGCTCCCACTGGCCGCGCCTCGCCGCTCCAGGTGAATGGGGGCTGCGGGAAGCGGC